CACACCACTGTGCAAAGTGTGCAAAATGGAGAGGTGCCTTCTTTGCCTTCTGGCACCCTTCTGCACAAACTGCTGTGTCTGCTCACTGCCTCTGTTGGCTGCACTCTGGGCCTGGCTCTTATATAGGCCTCTGCCTAGCAGTGACTCACAAGGGTGCTTGACCCACCCAATCAGGAGCCACCTGAGACAAAAGCCCCAACTCCCTCTGACCAGGGCAGCCCAGAGAGCTCCTTAGCAGCATCCCCACCTAGCTAGAACTTCCCAGGAGAAGTTCAGTCAAGGTCCCCTGCAGGAGTCCTTGCCCAGCTCTCCCTTCCTGCTAGCAGCAAGCACCGTCTAGTTCCTCGGGGGTCCCCAGAAAGTCTCCACAACTTCCAACAAGGCCCACAAAAGGCCCAGGCAGAGCCCAGACACTGCTGCGTAAACTGCTGCTTCTGTTCGCTGCCTCTGTTGGCTGCGCTCTGCCAAATCATTTATGTATGATTTTTAATGTATCTCAGATTTAAAGAGAGACTTTCCTGGATCTGCTTGCTTGTGTTTATCGGCTGAGTAATCAGTTAAAGAATATTCATATTGTCAATAATTTAAGCCAAATAAAACATTTTATCTTTTGCTGAGGCATTTTGTCCCATGCCTCTGCAAATGAAAATATAGACTGTTTCACCTGATCTGTCTGCCTGTCTTCGAAATGAATTTTGGCATTTGTCTTTATAAATAGTGCAATGAAAAGTATGCATCCAGGAATTATTTTATTTCCAAAAAAAGAATTTGATAAAAGGAATTTTAACATTTGCCCCATCAAAAAGAGTTGTATAGCTAACGTTTAACTATAGATCATATCTGACTCACCTTTTTTAAGAACTATTTTTAAAAGTATTCTTGTTTTAGTTTAGGTGTGCTAGGCATGCTGATTTGCAAAAAACCTTGTTTAATGGAAAGGAGTGACCCAGGTCAGGGTTGCTAGTAAGGCATGGCAGGGAGAGACAAAAAAGGCTTTAAAGTTTTATGCTCACTGAAACTCGGGAACTCAGGAGATTTGAATACAGAGGGAGACCTTGTGATGTTACAATAAACACAAACAGGAATGTGTTACTATGGAAAATTTTAACTTTCTAAATTCAGCCTGGACAGCAAAATAAGAATGTGTAGGAGCCACCTAATCCTGCATGTAATAAATGCCAGATTTCTTTATCAGCTGGTCATGGATCCAACAGGAGATGATGTACCATACAGTTATAGTTTTGATTTCAGTGGATAGAGTGTTTGTCCTAGAAATTAACCTTGCATATATTATCCCGTGTTGCTTCCATTTATATTAAAAAGAACAAATAGAAATGCATCTTTAAAGCTTTTAATTTCAAAAAGGCAAGCTTTTCAATATTTTC